CTGGGCAGTTGAGCTTTCATCACTCTGGCAGTAAAGGGAGAAATTATCTCTACTGTGGGCCCGAAAGACCCGTCCTTGTCAACCTGCCTCTTTAGTTCCTCCATTTCTTTTCTCAATTTGAGGATGTCTCCGGCATCTTCATTTCCGTGCCCCCCAGAATTTTCTCCAGATTCCTCAGTCCTGGGTCCCAACCTTTGGGACGCATTTTTGCGCATCCTCTTATGTACTGATATGCGCCCTTGACTTTCCACCTCCTCATCCTCTCCTTGACCTGTTTCTCTCCCGGTCCCTTGGGACCGGGCCTCTCCTTCCTTGTTGAGCCACCCGATTAACTTTCGGACTATGGGGGAGTTGGCGTCGAATTTTTCTGCTGCTGCCTGGGAATAGTTTGGATGAGAACTCTTAGGGGCTTTAGAGTGGAAACTGCGTTCACCAGATTTGTCTTGTGTTTCACGCCTGGATTGGGAGAGAGTTATTTGGTGTCTGAGATCCTCAGATGAAAGCTTCTCTTTCCCTTCCAAGTTGGTTCGCGCCTTAGCATCAATTTTGTTCCTCTTGGACCGATTTTTGCCCATAGTAACAGTTGGAAACCTTTTCTTGATGAAAAAGGCAGACCAACGGGAGATAGCGGCCCCTGAGCAAGAAATCGGTCCTCCTGTATGACCGGCTGATAAATGCGGTCCTCTGTGGAAGATCGGTCCTCCTTTCACTCTTTTTTTTTTGAACAATGGACCGACTAAAAAGAAGAGTCCTTCTGGGTGGACCGCGAACTTATCTCCTTCACTTGGAATGGACCGCTAATTCTCCCTAGGTCTAGGAAGAGGTCTTTCCGAGTGAACAAGAGTGAGATAGGCTCGCTATCAACTCCCGAGAAGGTTAAGAAGCTTCAACCGGTCCCACGGGTGGCGCCAGTGATGGATACCCAATATTTTCCCAAGGACTGTAGATCGGCCTAGGTCCAAATATAGGTATCCGGGCCTTATAATATTGAAAGATAATACGAGAATAATAATTAATAGTAATAGAAGCATTGCTCACTAGATAATAACTCAAATCGGCGGTCCTCTCCTTTATTCGGTCCTCTCAGGAACGGAATATGCTTGAGGATCGCCAGAATATCTTTTATTATTTACTCACGTATTTTCTCTCCTCATTACAAGATATCCTCCATTCCCCAAGTCCCTCTTTCTTTTATAGGCACTCCCCATCCATTATCCTCTTCAATAATGGCAGTGATTGGGGGAATATTCGTGCCAGCCTTCCTCCATCTTGGGGGATGTATCTCAGCTTGAGGCCGTCCACTGGAGGACAAGCCTGTCCGTCCATCTCTTGCTCCCTGTCCGTCCCTTTCCCCTTGTCCTTGTCCCTTCAATTAGGGGGGGCTGCTCTAGACTCTTCCATACGATTTCTTTCCTTTGGGGTAGCTTATTCTTAGTGGGCTGGGCTTCAGCCCATTCTTAAGCCCCCAATCCTTTTCCTTTTTCCTATCTTTCCTCACGGATAACTTCCCTTGACTGACCCAATATATTTTCTCTGGGTTGGACACTCCTTTTGATGGACGGAATCTAAATTGGGCCTGGGCCCAATTCGCTAGTATTCTCTCGATGGGCTTGGTTCCCATCACATCATATTTACAATGACCAGTTCGTTACGTTGTAAAATAACGTTTCATTATTATAAGATACTATATTGAAATTATGAAAATGAAGTAAAGAAATCCACACAGTTTTTTAATTTGTATATGCATTGTGCATAGAGCAGGCACCTTATAAATTCATATATATACGTATTTACCGTTTACGTGTTACATACTCGTCATATATATGTGAAAGTAAGTATAATTGAGTGTAGATTATGACTTTGTTTTGAAAGAACATTCTCAATTAGTTTAATGTTATGTATAATTTTTTAATGTAGTAAATTAGTTTTTGAAAACGTTAAACGCTCTCGTTGTATAATATTTTTAAAACCCTAAAGTTAAACATTAAAAATTTATTGTCGAACAAGTCCTAAAATTAATTTGATGATAGTTTTCAAAAAAAAATGATTTGATGATAGAGAAATAATTTGACTGGTCAAAAATGTCAAAAGGCACAAAGAAAAACAATTATGGAGTACGGATTATAGTGTTTTTTTATTTTTTGAGATCCGGATTACAGTTTTAAACAAAATGATCCTTACCCAAAGACAAAAGTTGTCATCAAAATTTCTCTTTTCTTCCAAACAAAAAAGAAAGGAAAAAAAATACTCGGTAATCTCTTTTCCAAGACGCACAGTGCATCCAAATCCTTACAGCTAGGAGAAAGCAGTGAGCAAAGCATAGGGAGAGGCAAAAAGAAATTATATAAGTGAAAGGTTTTCAGTGATGAAAGGTACATAGACTACTTTGACCCTTGACCAGGTAATAATTATTTCTAGAGTTGGGATATAAAGATGATTAAAGATTTAAAGTGTCTTCAGCCTTAAAAGGTAAAAAAAATGATCAACTTATCCCCTTATCCTACTTAGGAAAGTTATTTAATTAATCGATAATATAATTTTTTTGAATGACATTCACTTTATCATAAGGTGGTATCTGTTCATACTATTCTCAATCTAATAACATACAAAGAATCAATGTTTTCGCCTCTACTTGGGCTCGAACCTGAGTGAATTTTTCTATGAATCTTAGAGATTGGCTTCCTATCACTCAAGTCAGGGAAAAAATTCAATCGATAATATAATTTTGATATGATAATAAAGAGTAATTTTTTTGTTTCTTTTAAACTTCAGGATATATTCTGTAGAAAAATAAATTGAACTATAAATATGAATAAGATCAATACAATTGTTATGATTCTTTTTGGAGCATTACTTTTTAAGATAATTCACAAATGATTATGTCATCCCTGAAATGATATTCACTTTATTACAAGGTAGTATCTGTTCATACTATTCTCAATCTAATGATGTACAAAAAACCAATGTGTCTCTACTTGGGCTCGAACTTGAGTAAATTTTCCTATGAATCCTGGAGAGTGGCTTCCTATCACTGAAGTCAGAGGAAAAGATCTATCAATAATATAATTCTGATATGATAAAAAAGAGTATGGTTTTTGTTTTTTTAAACATTGGGTTATATTCTGTAGAAAAATAAATTGAACTATAAATATGTATAAATCACATGTCAACCTTGGAATTACATACGGAGTAGATTTTAACACAAGTCAAATGATAACATGGGGGTGGTCAAAGGGATCTTTAGGTAAAAATACAGTGTAATAAGTTGGATTGTGGATATTTTGTAGCCAAACGTGTCCCCCTTTTAAGGTAGATTCTGGGAAGGGGTTGATTGTACCTTTGTTGAACATTGCTAAAAGTGGAGGAATCTTCCTTTAATTAATTTCTTTTTTTTTTAATCTTTGCAAAGCACAGACTTTTGCAGTGCTCAATTTTAAATTTTGTCAGCACCTGTTGGATTCCCAATGCAGTCAATACTCATCTCTTCCATTCCCACCTTTTTGTTCATTTGAGGATTTTTTTGAGCCATTTATAACGAGCACTCTAATTTTTTGAGAACCAAATTGATTATCCAACTGATTGATGGGTTCATTGGTGGGAGTGGTAGTCATGAACTCATTTAATAATTCATACTGAAGTTATTGAATTGAAGATTTAAAACTTGTGAATAAATGGAAAAATCAACAAATTTTGAAAAAATATGCTAGCTTGAGCGGAAAAAGTGCACTCTTTACTCCTGAATTTTTTGGAATTACACGGTTTACCCTGAACTTTAAAAAAAATACTAAATACCCCTGCATTCTTCCAAAATTGCATGATCTACCTCTGAATATTAAAAAGTTCACCAAATGCCTTTGAACTCTTCGGAAATTACACAGTTGATCTTTGAAAATTTATATAAAGATGATAATTTTGGGGAAGGATACTTTGGAGAATTCGCAAGGGCGAGAGGAATCATACTCGCAATTCTCGTGCGTGGGAGCAGCACATCCCTATCTAGTATAACATTTTAGATTGTTCAGAGGTATTTGGTGCGCTCTTGATGTTGAGGAGTGCAAGTTTTGAAGAGTAAGCTGGTAAATGATGCACTTTTAAATGTTTAGAGGTAAACCATACAATTTTCAAAGAGTTGGTACCATAATGAATAAAAAATAAATTGTTCTCATTTTCTCATGTTAAGAAGTCTTTCGGACAAAGAGAAAATGCAAAAGAAAAATGGTGGAGAGAAAATAAAGCATAAATATCATGGCATATTCTCTTGTATAGTTGAGACTTGAGAAAGAAAATAGTGCGAAAAAAAGATGGTTTCACCATGTTAATTGTTAAATATTTTTTATATATCAATCAAAGAAAGAAAAAATTCTAAGAGTGAAGAGAGTCTTTTTTTAAATTACTTCTTTGCCATTGAAATGTTTGAGATTACTTTACTCTCTTGCAGAAAAATGTTACTCCCTATTTTACATCATATTTCTTTCTTCTTACTTTTATCTCCAACCAAACAAAGGTTTTCATTTTTTTCTCATTTTCTTTTCATTTTCTACTTATTTAAAGTCTAAATAATTTATATGTTCTCTTTATTTTCCCCTCACTTGCACTTCTCTTCATTTTCGTTCTTCCTATTTTTCTCCTATCTTTTCTCTACTTATCCAAAGAAAGGATGAGATCAAAGTCAGGTCGATTTGGCGGGATGGAATAGTGTGATGGGATCAAAGCCAGGCTCACAGTCTGCATGGCTTAGGGGGTTCTCTCTGGGTTAGCCACCATCCTCATTTTCCATACTCTTTCGTATTCTGAAATCATCTCTCGCTACCACAATTGGGGACGTGAACGGTCTCGGGAGGACCTTATCTAGGCTCTCCACAACCATGGCCAACAATGAAGCAATCTTGTTCAACACAAGGTTTAATCCCGTCGGAGCATTGGCAACTAACATCTCCACACACACACACACACACATATATATATATAATCCCTGCCGCCATTTTAAACCGCTATCCTCTTATTCAAAATGTGCCGTGTAAAAGTCTTTAAGCAGACGAGGAGACTAATGCATTCTAATAACGCAAAACATTGGAGATAATATGGTAATCTTTTTCTTCAAGTGGGAAATCCGATAAAAGAATTATTTGTCCCGGCGTCTCACTCAACAAAGTGAGGCTCGGATAAGTGGAGTTACTGAACACCACTCCACCTGGCCCAATCGACAAACTGCATGCCGGCGTAGACATTGTTGGCGAACCGCACCCCAACAGTGAATGCCAATGCCACAGGTGGACATTGCTTTGCTGCTGCCGATGACTCCACCAGCCTCTCCAAACCTGTCACAATCTGCAACCGCGTGTTTGACGATACTCCCAGGAACACACCTGTACAATGGGGCAGCAGGGGGTTAGTAAATAGACTTGGCAACTTTAGTTGACACAACAAGAAAGTGATCAATAGGGCATACCCCATAGTGCTGCACTCTTTAGGAGAGGAGGGACAGGTATGTCATCTTCTGATGTCTTTACACTCCTGAATAAAATATTTACGTTTCATTAGTCGCATAACAAAAGTAATGGGAAAGTCCGGTACACAAACCATCCCTCATTGCAAGAGGTTCGGGGGAAGGGCCTCGCCATAAAGATGTTATTCCCTTCATCCAACAATAATCTTCCCATTACGCGTTATGATGTTTGACTAAAGTTATTTCAAATTATTTTATATGAAAACAACAACAACAACAACCCAGTTAAATCCCACAAGAGTAGGGTCTGGGGAGGATGTGTGAACGCAGACCTTGCCCCTACTCGAAAGTAGAGAGGCTGTTTCCAAAGAGAGCCCCGGCTCAACGTCGAAAGTTGCATTGCTTGACTAACTGCTACTTCATTAATTAAAGAAGCGCAGACAGCTTAGAGATCCATTTTGATTTATTCCATCACACCCCAAAGCCATAAAATGGTGAAATGTTGGCTCCATCGGAGATGATGGAAGGGATTTTATATGAAAAATAATGCGGAATTAAAAAATAAAAATTACATATTTAAAAACTACATCAAAAGACCTACGAAACTAGATGTGAATGACTATATTATTTTATCAAATGGGCATCGGAAATAGATCAACAAAGTAAATACAGTTTGACCCAGTGAATAGTGAATGGGAAGCTTATTTTTGGACGAAGGATGTATTACTTATTAGGCAAACCTTACCTTCCATAACAGAAGTAGATAGTAGAGACACATGATTAGGAAAAAAAGGAATCACTCAAAATAAGAGTAGAACATAGCCCTAATCTCTAAAATAGGAGTGACAAGTTTTTATCTCAAAATAGAAGTTTACACTATGACAATGTGGCACTATATATTGGCACTCCACAGTGTTTCTTGGTATAATTATATGTAGACATTATTGGCATTGTAACTCTTATTTTGGAAATAAAAACATCGAGCTCTTATTTTGGTAATTTCTCTATGTTTTACTCCTAGTTTAGTCTTTTTCCATTATAAAATTGGCATGCAAAATCTGGACAATTAAGAAAGTTAAGAACATGATCTTCGGCTTTAAACAGTCAGCTAATTTTGGATATTAATTTCCATAATAAATTTTGCATCAAATAGGCCCCAAAATGGAAAGATTGAAGTGGTGATGATTAAAAAAACTGTTAAAATCCATATTAGGAAGGAGGATAATTTCTTTTATCTATTTTCATTATTTCAAAAAAGAAAACAGATGGATGTTGAATTCCAAATATTTACTACTAGTACAATGGACATACCGTTTAGCAGTCATTATTAGATTTGCAATTCCTTGGCCAACGATACCACATCCAAATCCCACAACTCCATACAGAATTCCCTAAAAGTACAAAGGAAAACATAATTGATTAGTTTCAGCACAAGCTGTTTGGATTTGTAAAACAAGTGAAAACACACACACACACACACACACACACAAGAAGACATTATGTTTCTTTAAAGGCTATTGTGCAAACTAAAGGCACACAAAAATGCGTATATAACTAATATATAGTTAAATACAGAGTATAATATAAAATCCATTGAATTACAAAACTTAAAACAATGACAAAATCTAACCTTATAAAAGTAAGCAGCTATTCTCTGATTCATTGTAAACTTACAGCCTGGCCTTTCCGCCTCAAATACGCTGAAACAAATAGCCATGGTTTGATGTTGAACCATATAATGCGAATTTTCTATTCCAACAAAGTGCCAACATAGTTTTAAAAAACGATTAAAAAAGCCTTTGCTGTATAAAGTTTAAAACACTTTAAAGCAGTGGAATGAAGAACATTTTAATTAGAATGGAATGATGTTGTAAAAACCTGCTAGGAAGAGCTCCATAAGCCCTCTGCAGATGACCAAAAAATCCTTGAGATGTAGAAGGTTTTCCAATCCGAACATATGGTGCTAGCAGGCCAACTAAGGCAACATTGACAACAACCCCAACTGTCATATCTGCAGCGTACAATTCAAATTCAGCCCAGAAATCCTTGCCCCTCTTTTGAACTTCGGCAAATGTTGCGCAAGTAGTATCGATAACAATCTACATTATGAAATCAATGCAAAAGTATGTTCAGAACTTGAAAGAGTTTTTTTTGAATAAAAAGTTAGTACAAAAGAAATGATTCATAGATAATTGCACAAGACATCAAAAACCGAGTAAAGTCCAACAAGTAGGGTCTGGGAAGGATGGGCATACTCAAACCTTACCCCTACCTATAAAGGTTGAGAGCTTATTTTCCAAAGACCCTCGGCTCACGAAAAGTGTCGAAAACATTGCACGGGAAAGCTTCGATAGATTGGCTGGCTATATATTATAATTGTAAGAGAAAACTTTGTTGATCTCAAAGACCCTAGGCTCAGTTATCTTTTAGGTGCTTGGCACCGGATACATGTTCTAACATTCTTTAAAAAATAACAACATTCACGTGCATAATATGAAGTGCGAGGATTTATCAAAGCAGATGAAACAAACAGTTAATACGGAATAACGAGTGAAACCTTGAAACAAAACCATAAAAAGAGCTAAACAAGTTTAAACTAACCTCAGTTCCAACTTTGAAAAGAAATGATGGATCAGCCAACATTCGATTCCTGAGCATAGAGCACGACCTGATTGCAGGTCCCAGAGGCCACACAGATCCCTGCACACACCCAATTTCATTACATCTTAATCCAATGAATCAACTATGATGGTGGCTCAACAACTAAATTCATCAAAACCACAAATATCACTTTCACAAAACTCAAAACTGTACCTGCAAGTCTAAATATCTATGCAATAGGACTTCCCGGATCCCAATACTCTTTGCAGCCTCTAACATATCAGCAGGAAGAGTGGTTCCACGGGCCTCAGCTTCCCTCATTACCTCATCAAACTTCAGTAATGGCCCGAACTCGTCTTCTTCATCGTCATTTCCCCCATTTTCGTTACCACCCCCACCACCCCCACCAGTGAATTTCCTGTTTCCACCGTTCCCATCCACTAAATCTCCACCACCACTATCTGTTGAAGCTATACAACTGGAACTCAGAACATTACTTTCTTTGCTAACACTTGAACTGTAACTGTCTTTCAGTAAAGCACTCACACTAGCACTAGATTGTGACTCGCTCCCTTCACTCAACGAGCTCTTCACTAAAAATCTGGAACTGTTACTCTTACACATCAAATACCCGTTGATAGTATTGCATTGGATCTGGACAAAACTCAATCTTGATGCCCCAATCTCAGTAAAGATACCATTTCGCGAATTCCAAAATCGAGATGGACAAATTCCAGACGAACAACTAGACATTTTTTATTTCGAAATCAGCTAGGAGAAATTACAAAACAACAATCTAAGTAGATGAAAGTAATCAAATGAAACAACAAGTCAAACAAGCTACGACAGTTAATCAGCGAAGCAGATTGGGTTTAGAAGAACACGAGTCCTGGAGCTTCTCCTTTCGTTGTTGTTACCAGAGGAATGTTACCCAAAGGGTAGGTAGGGGCTGGAGAGTTCGAGGCAACAAGGAGTTCTAGTAGAATACTCTTTGATTTTACTAGACTCGTACCCGTGCGTTGCACGGACAAATTATTTATTAAATAATTATCAAAAATTTTGACAAAGGAAAATGGTAAAAATACTTACAAATAAGATAATATAATATAATCCTAAAGAAAGAGAAATATAAATTAATAAACAATATCGCAGAGAAGTGGTATAAGTTTTAATTTTTTTTATAAACTACATTTATAGTTTGGTTCGACAGTGCAAGTCTTCATTGGAAATCAATATCTTTAATTTAATCTTTTGCGATTTACAATTTTTAATTTAATCCTTTGTGATTTAAGTGAGCATGACCGAATATTGATTTCTGACTAACAGTCCAACATGAAACAAAGATTACTCTTGATTTTTGCCAATCATTATTGCATATGAAGTCATAATTAAGAAGAATTTACTTTGAAATCATATATGTTCAAAATCAGAAATGGTACCACATTGTCAATGGTACGCAATGTCCCTGGAACCGTGCTTTTAAGAATGAAAGCTTAATACAAATAAAGTAAAATTAACGTATGGTTTATAATAAATTAAATAAAAATGCATGCATTTTTTGAGTAGTGTGTGTATGTGCACGGATGTAAATGGTTCTTGAGTTTTATACTTTTATTAGTTATCAATATGTGAAAAATTGTACCTACCCATATATATGATGCTCTTTATAATTTAAGAATTTAACTTAAAAGAGTTGCGCGATGTTCTTGTAGACTCTAATTATTAAATTATAAGATAACATTTTCTAACAATCTCAA